CACAGTACGGGGAACTTGGTTGGCTGATGGGCAGTTCCGCTCCTTTATTTCCACCTTCCGCGATGTGGATGTCTTCAGCGGAGCTCCCACGGCCTTGGACTCCCTTCTTTTGGTATCCTCACCTCCAACCCACTCGGTCTCTTTCCTCTACTCTATCCTCTCCTCCCTAGCCTCCCCTAACCTGCCGGCCTATACCGCAGTGTGGGAAAGGGAACTGGGAGAACCTCTGTTGGAGGCGGACTGGATGAAGTCATTCACCCTCACTCATTCCCTCTCCATTGCTAGTACAGCACACGAGAAAAACCTGAAGATCTTGACCCGATGGTACCGTTGTCCAGAGGTCCTTCACCGATTCTATCCAGATGTCTCTGCCTCCTGTTGGCGCTGCAATAACTCTCTGGGCCATATGACCCACATCTGGTGGAGCTGCCCTCCGATCCGGGGATTCTGGCGAGCGGTGCTGGATGTGTACCTCAGGGTGACGGGAGCTGTGGTGGCCGATGACCCTAAGATACTATTGCTGTCTATGGTGCCCGGGTCGCTTAAGTCGGCGAAAAAGGGCTTACTGCGCCACTTCCTCACGGCGGCCAGAGCAGTCATCCCGCGCCATTGGCGTACACCGGTGGTCCCCACCCTGGCTGAATGGACTGTGGAAATGGATCGCATCGCTGACTTGGAGGGGCTCCTGGCTGAGGAACGTGATGCTGGTCCTCAATATGTACTCGCATGGTCTGCGTGGCTCACCTTCAGGGGGTCGGCGGATTTTTCGGACGTTATTTCTCACTGACCTCTAAGCCCGGCGGACACCCTGGCAGGAGGTGGGACCTCCCAGTGCTCCTTTGTGTGCTCTCCTGTACTCACTTTGCTCTTCTCTCCTTCCTTGTTACTCTCTGTATTGCCCTCATAAACCTTGGGGTTTCCCCCTGAATGTCCTGCCTCACGGACTGCGCCCTTCTCCTGGGGGTCTAGGTCCCTTGTACCCACCTTAGCCTCTTAAGAGGGCAAGGGAACTTCACTATGTAGGCAGCTCCTCGGCGTCCCATGTCATCTACTTCCGAGTCATGAAAATGATGGGACTTATAACCTAGGCCTGGCGGCGTAAAGGGTCCCGCGCCCGTACTGTGCAACACTCTGTATGGCCGACTGGCACGCACTGTTCGGTGCCAGACCCTTGTTCCAACCTCTGTTTATCACTAACCGTGACGTTACCATACTGTGATAGGCCCACTAGGGGACACCCACCCTATGTCCTGTGCTTTTATATTGTTTCTTTGTGACCAATGTCTTACTGTGTATGCTTACCTTTTGATTTATCTCCTTTGTATATGGAAAATCTCAATAAAACTTGATTGTACTAAAAAAAAGTGATAAAAAAGAAAGAAACAATCAAAATAAAGAAAACTAACCCTGCCATCCGGTTGCTATTCTCCGTTGATGGGGGGGGGGGTACATAGCAGAACCTGGCCTTGGGGCGGCAGGGATAGTAAATCCGGCCCTGCTTGTCCTACAGTAAGGGAGGATGGGACATATTTGCCCCGGGAGGTCTCTCTTTGCCTCCTGCAGAACTGGAATTGTGAGTTGTTGAACTTGATGGACGTGGGTCAGCAAGGTGTGCGGTGGAGGCCCGGGGGCGGGCGATGTGTCGTCATGGAAGAGTTACGGTGAATACTTTCCTCCGTTGTCTCGGCAGCCACTAGAATTGCAGGTTTTCCTGTCACCTCCTGTCAGTTCGCCGCCTGTGTCCTCAGACTTTGGAGTGATCATTGGAGGTCACAGTGATGAGTGCTGATGTGTGTGACCGGGGCTGTTGTAGACCTATGTGAGGACCCCCGGGGGGTAATTGTTAGGCCGGCCCTTACAATGGAAGGACGGGACTGGAACACAATGGACGACCTCCTGGAAGAAGCTCCTGTCATTAGGGACAGGCTGCCATTGCTGAGCTCTGGATGTGAAAATGCTGGTTGCCTGGCTGTCATGCTGAACCTCTACCTGTGAAGCACTGACCTGGAGCGGGTCTGCAGACGAGGACCTCGCTCTGCATGGAACGTTAGAATGTTATTGGGAGAGCAAAGCAGACGGTCAATTCTTAGAAGGGGATCAGCGATGGCGGCCGGCCCCCCGGGGTTTTCTTCGAGGTGATGTCACCCCACAAACTGCAACAAGAAGACGTGGAATATGAGGACAGCGGCTCCTAGGAGGACATCATGGAAGGCAAAAGCTTTATTAAATTAACATTTAGCATTTTACATACATTTATTATATCACCCCCACCCCTTCTCTCCCCCCCCATCAACA